CTTGAACTCCTGACCTTAGGTGATCCGCCTGCCTTGGCCTCCGAAAGTACTGGGATTACAGGTGTGAGCCACTGCACATGGCCAGATTTTAAGTCTTCTTACCACAAAAAAGATACGTATGTGAGGTAATACATATGTTTATTAGCTCGATTTAGCTACTCTACAAATGTGTACATATTTTAAAGCAACATGCTGTACATGAAAATATATATAATTTTTTGTCAGTTAAAAATTAATTAATTAGTTTTAAAAAGAGGAGGTCAGGGAATACTTGTGTATTTTGTTAACTGGACAAATGAAACTCTACTTTCATTTACTCATTAAACAAACACTTGTTTTGTGCTCAGCGCGATTCTAGGTGCTGGGACTACCGCATTTCAGTCCATTATTTCCTTGCACACAAAAACCGTTTCTTTTCACCACAAATACACTGTGAACATTTTTTTTTTCTTCAGTGTTTACATCTCTTGATTGCTTCCCCCCAGGTCTTTGTGCGAGTTTTACTCTTTAAACCCCAGATATTGTCATTTTTTTCTCTGTAAAACTTTTCCAAGCAACTCAAAGTAATTTCTTCTTCTGAATTTCTCTAACAATTATTCTATGGGTCATTTATTAACACAGCATAATCAAATAACTTATTTGTTTTCATCTTTCTTTATCTTTTGTTTAATTGGATGTTGTCTTTGAGCTCAGAGGTTGTCCTCTATGTTTTGAAGTCTCCACACAGCTCATTGTTACCTTGCCCATAGTTGTAGCTCTGTGAAATAAAACTCTGCCTGTAGAAGGTGAATGTCTGCAACCGGTGAGCTGAGAGCTTGTGGGATTGTTGTTCTGTTTGGGTGCATGTGAATCAGTGCATCTCCTTCTGTTCCACTGGTGTTAAAAGGCTCCCATAGTCATGGGAACATGATAGGAAAGAGAACAGGTGTGAAGCCACAGGATGAAGGAATGTGGAGAATGGAGGAAAAGTTGATCAGATTGACCACTTTTAGTGGTGAAATCATCACCAAAATGAAAGCCAGTAAATAAATTTACAATGTCCTTTTCTTTGATGCATCAGTAACTTCACCTTCATGTTCAAAGCACAGCAAGTAATTAATCTCTTATTTGCATTTGAAACCCAAGTTTCAGATGTTTGAAGGTGGTCGTAAAAAACAAAAACCAAAGTAAAGCCAAAATAAATAAAAAGCAGCACTAGGCCAGGCACGGTGGCTCATGCCTGTAATCCTAGCATTTTGGGAGGCCGAGGCAGGTGGATCACAGGAGGTCAGGAGTTCGAGACCAGCCTGGGCAGCATGGTGAAACCCTGTCTCTACTAAAAATACAAAATTTAGCCAGGTGTGGTGGCACGCCCCTATAATCCCAGCTACCTGGGGGGCTGAGACAGGAGAATTGCTTGAACCCAGGAGGTGGAGGTTGCAGTGAGCAGAGATCACACCACTGCACTCCAGCCTGGGCGACAGAGTGAGACTCTGTCTCAAAAAAAAAAAAAAAAAAAAAAAAGCAGCAGTAACTGTTATTCACACTTGTGGAACCCAGAACTTAATAACCATGAACAGAACTCTAATAAACAGAAAGTTCTGGAAATAAAGTTTAATCATCATATAATCTTTATTGTTGGGTTAAATGAATAATCGTCTGGGAACATGTCTTTGAATGCTTAAAGCTATGAGATGCATGTGCCTATGTGACAGACAAATTTCAGATGTGAAACGTTTAGTTAACTTGGTCCTGCTTTTTAATCACTGCTTTAAAATTTTAAAAAAATGCTGCTGGTCAAGTAAAAATAGCAATAGATAAAATCTGCCCTGAGCAAACAGACCATACATCAATAAATAAATACTTAGCTTAAGCGATTTTCCATGAGACCCATGAAGCATTTCTAATTGAAACTTAACAAGCTACAACCCAACAAACACTCCAATTTTCAGTTCTAGAAGGGAAATGTGAACTCCATGTAGATGTAGCTTTTAAAATCTAGCTGGAAGAGAGTGTGACAATGAAGTTGTGTGCTGTAATTTTTGAAAATTGCTGAAGTGTCATGGTTTGCTATTTCGTATTTATTGAAAAAATGTAAATGCCACATTTAACAAAATGGCAGTAAGTCTGTTTCAATCTGAGGGCTTAATCTTACTAATCATGATAATATATGCTAGCTGGAGTTGGGAATATTTCATAAAATACTGGAATAAATTTGTGCTTATATTTCAGGGGAGTTAATAAAAGCACCTTCATCTGCAACATTTAAAATTTTATTGCCTTTAAATTTGTATGAAATAATGAGGGGAACATAGATCACTGGGAGAATGGATGCACCTCTGTGAGGATCTTAGTCATTCAACACACGTGTAGGGATGAGGAAACTGAGGCACGACTTACTGGGTAGGAAGGTAGAGATATTAGCAAGAGCCTTCACTTGTCTGGGCTTGCTTTCTATCTTTGAGTCACCTTTGCGCAGTTTTTCATTGCACTTCACAAGCCTCTGAGGCGGCAGGGCAGACAGGACACCCCTATTTTATAGACGAAGAAACTTAGGCTTACAGAGGTTTCCTGCCCCAGATCACAAAGGCGGAGCCTAGACCTTCTCAGTCTCCACCAACTGTATCTCAGTTACTCACAATCCTTTCTACCCACATCCAAATGGACACCGTGGCTCTGCAATTTCTGTCAAAAGGGCTCTTTGGCAACAGGAAAAACGTCATGGCTCCATTGTATTGTAGAGGATGGGAATGGGTGTTCCGGCTAAATCCCCCCTCCCCTTTCCCTCCACAGCTCAGATGGCAAATGTGGGACCCAGGGACCTCCCGCTCCAGCAGGGCTGTGCGCACAACTTCGCACAGATTACCTGCTAAGCAGAGCCGAAAGCTAACACAGATGCCAAAGGATAATAAAGGTGAATGAGATTTACTCAAAATTGGAAACTTGGTGTTTGGTTTTTCAGGAGAACAATCAACAACTGTGATTTGAAGTTCACCAGGGAATTCTGATAGATCTAATCAAAGACAGAGTGCTGGTTTGAAATGATTAAAAGGTAACAGTAAAAGGGAGAGTAAAACCCCAGTCCCAACGCAACCCATAAATCTACTTTGTCTTCCTCGAAAGAGGGGTGCGCGTGGGCTAGTCTCCCGGCGAGCATCTCACCTAAGCGGGGAATCCCTTTCTCTCAGCACACGGTGAAGTTCCCCCTTGGCTGTCCCACCTGGCCGTCCCTCTAGGATTTCGGCCAGTCCCTAATTGGCTCCAGCAATGTCCAGCTGGAGCTTCTCTGGGCCTCCGAGTGGGAGAAAAGTGAGAGCAGGTGCTTCCCCAACCGCGCGCTCCTCCAGGGCCCGGCAGGATCCCGCGCCCAAGTCGGGGCTAGTTGGTCGGCGCCTTTTCTCCCAGACGAAGCCGCTCCAGGGCTGATCTCGGAGGACGCGCGGCCGGCAAAGAGAATGAACCTGAGCGTCCCCGAAACGTCCTGCGCGGCTCCCGGGAGATGGGAGAAACAGGTGCCTTTCTCCGACGTCCGCTAGCGACGCCTCTAGCACCTTGCCCACTGCCGCGCCCCTCCCGGGGACCTCTGGCCCTCCGCGCCCCCGCCCCC